AAACTTAATCCTGAAAATCTATCCCCCTGGGGATACCTCTTCTGCGAAGACTTTTGTGTATGAGATGATGAACGGCTTTGTTTCATTTATCCATATATGTATATATATATATATATATATATATATCCTTTGTTGTCCCCTTTTGAGCCTATAGTGTTTTTTCTTTCTTCTGATTCAACCCTAACCAAGGATCACCCCACACTGGGGGCAAGATGGAAGAAATCTGCTCACATGAGTGAAGACATAAAATCAGAGGAGATATCAAAAGGAGAACCAAATGTCAAGTGCGAAGATCTAATCGAAAAAAAAAGAAAAAACGATAATCGACTCAAATGACGCGTCAAGCTTCAAATTATGAGATTGATCAAGCACAATTATTCCAGAATCACTTCACACGAAGTTTATGGAGCATCGAGAGAGACACATACGGGCATATTCAAATTGAGCAAGACGGGATTGAAAGCATCAGAATGAATTGATCCTTGGTTCAATACCTTGAAACACTTGTTTGGGCCTATTTATCCTTTTCTTTCATAACCAGGAACCATGACCTACATTACGTGCCTTAAAAAGTCCCTTCTAATCATTCATGGATTTCTAAACATAAGAGATTATCTTCAGATTTCATTCTGCCCATCAGGATTAATTTTTATTTGCAAAAGGTTTTCTAAAATCTTTAATGCATGATAGAGAAAAATAACAAAGGGGGGTTCAAGACGTAAATTCTAGATGACATCTTGAAACCAAAAGAGGATTCAAGTTGAAAACCTGAAAAGGCGGCTTGAATGTAAAAATTGTACAGCTGAGGCAATCGCACAAATTACTTGATAAGGTATTACACAATGCGTGACGATAAGAGTAGGGAGCCGGTGAACACGTCCAGTAGATGAGCATACAAGCTACCCCATCAGATCAGTAAACATCAAAGAAATAAGAAGGCCAAACGATTGACCAAACACAATAACTTGAGACTTTCTTATTGTTTCATTTTTTAACTATTTCCCAAAGATAGCTTTGATCTTGACACTTGTCAAATAGCTATAATTTATTGAAGGATTAACAGTGTAATTAATTCTTTGATGTCCAATGAACTCTAGTTTTATGATTTGTCTTAAATGTGAAACCTAGAAAGGAGCAATATTTTCAAAACTTTTGATTAAATATTTTTCAAAACTCTTCTAATACATTTTCAAAACTTTTGAAAATAAAAGAAGAAGAAAAACACTTTTCAAACAAGACAATCTCTCTTGGGTGGATCTTGGTATTTGACATGTGGCTCTCAGACACAAAGCTCATGCTTAGAATTAGTGCTGAAGCAATCAATGAGGAACAATTGGGCATCTTTAAAGATTCAACAGTAAATGTTGGGGCATATTTGGAGATTCAACATTGAATATTGTGGCATATTTGGGGATTTAACATCCTGATGCAAATGATCAGATCTTCTGAAGGCATTTCCTCCACATGTAGGAACAAGCAGACAAAGCACGTGGAGATAAAACTAATTCATGTTGCATGCATCTTAGACATACTTAAGATCATCACATTCATCATTTTTTATACATATTTTTGCAGCTTTTAGATTCAAGTTTCAACTTCAAGAAGAAAGATACTCGATTCAAAAGCACATTTAGAAATTGATGGTGGGTGCTCAACTTCACAGCGAAGGAGCGTCTGTCAATAAACAACTTTTCAATTTCATTCAGAGTCAATTTCAACTTCACACCGAAGGATATTGTACTCAACAAGCAATTTTCCAGTTTCATTCAGAGTCAATTTCAACTTCACAACGAAGGATATTGAGCTCACAATTTGCTCGAGAGTATATTTCAACTTCACGACGAAGGATATCTAATTCGAAGCCAAACTTCACAACGAAGGGAATCGTGTCCACTCGCAACAGCATAAGCTTGGATTTCAACTTCACGACGAAGGATATTCAAGTCAAGGCTCAACTTCACGATGAAGGGGTCATCCGCGATTTTAACTCCACGACGGAGGATATCGTACCCACACATCCACGATTTTAACTCCACGGCAGAGGATATCGTACCAACAGATCCACGATTTCAACTCCACAACGGAGGATATCATGCCCATATATTCACGGTTTCAACTTCACAACGAAAGGAATCGTATACACGAGCAGCATCCATCTGTTGATTGGATTTCAACTTCATGACGAAGGATATCCAACTCAAAGAATGAGTGTCTGTCAATAAACTTTACAGTTTCAGAGCCAATTTCAACTTCACGGCGAAGGATATTGGACTCGAAACAACACAAGCTTGGATTTTAACTTCACGATGAAGGATATTCAAGTTGCTCAACTTCACGACGAATGGGCCATCCACAATTTCAACTCCACGACGGAGGATATCATACCCACGAATCCATGATTTCAACTCCACGACGTAGGATATCATGCCCACACATCCACGGTTTCAACTTCATGACGAAGGGAATCGTACACACAAGCATCATCTATCTCTAGGTTGGATTTCAACTTCAGGACGAATGATATCCAACTCAGAGAGGGAGTGTTTGTCAATAAACTTTCCAGTTTCATAGTCAACTTCAACTTCACGACGAAGGATATTGGCCTCGAAACAATGCAACTTAACTTGGATTTCAACTTCTCGACGAAGGATATCCAATTCAAGGTTCAACTTCACGACGAAGGGGTCATCCACGATTTCAACTTCACGACGAAGGATATCGTGTCCACCAGCATCAATGCAACCCTTGGATTTCAACTTCACGATGAAGGATATCCAATTCGAGGCTCAACTTCACAATGAATGAGTCATTCACGATTTCAACTTCACAACGAAGGATATCGTGCTCATTTGCAGCTTAGCTCAAGGCAAGAAGGGTTATCTGCTAACAAAAGACCTTCGAGTTCGATTATACTCAGCTCAAAGGCACATCATTTGTAGTATAGCTTAAGTCGAGAAGGGCTATCTGCCAACCAAAGACCTTCAAGTTTGACTACGCTCAGCTCCAAGGTACGTCATTTGCAGTATAACTCAAGGCTAGAAGGGTTATCTGTCAATAAAAGACCTTCAAGTTCGATTATATTCAGCTCAAAGGCACATCATTTGCAGTATAACTCAAGGCGATAAGAGCTATCTGTCATCAAATACCTTCGAGATTCGATTTCATTCAGCTCCAAGGCACGTCATTTGCAGCAAAACTCAAGGCTAGAAGGGTTATCTGTCAACAAAAGACCTTTTGAGTTCTTACACTCAGCTTAAAGACACATCTTTTACAGCATAACTCAAGGCTAGAAGGGTTATCTACCAACATTAAGACTTTCGAGTTCGATTTCATTCATCTCAGAGGCATATCAACCGCATGGTAGCAACGAGGAACTACCTTCTAGAAGAATTTTCAAGCCGAGATCTTTAACCGAGAAGAATATCAAGGCCCAATTCCAGGCTCAGGCTGAAGCCCAATCACAGTTACTCCCCAATAAATGTATCAAGTCTCAAAACAAGAAAGGACCGGACAAAAACTGGTTTTCTTTTTCGTCTTTGCCCTATTCTTGTTAACACAAGAATGTGCAAAGAGGGGCAGCTGTAGACCCCATATTTTGTCCTCATTCACAACACTACACCCATGACCACGTGAAGCTGCCAGCCATCCTATGTCCACTTGCCGTTGTCATTGCCACCCACTATTAGAGGATAAGCTAAAAAATCAAAGCATCATCACACCAACCAAGTTGCATGATTTTAAAATATAAAATCAGTGTAAATTTGGTTATAAAAAAAGTGGAATGCATGTATGAAAGAGAGGAAAAAAAACAGAAACGGAGGGAAACAATTGTAGGGGACAGTTGCTCTCGGTTTTTCAGCAAGGAAAATAGCAATAAAATACAGATTTTTTTTCAGCAATCCTAAGGTATTTCAGTTTATATTTCAGTTTTTTTTTAATTTATTTGTTCAATTCAAATGCAGCTAATAATAAGAATTTTAATTTGTAATTTTGTTCGTAGTTAACGTAAATTCCATGAGTTCTAAAAAATAATTAAAATAGAGATAGGGAGTTAGGTTACCTTGCTTCGGTGTTCGTCGGAGTAGGGGTGTCACCGTCGTCGGGTCTAGAGTCGAGTGGTCGGTGTGACTCTCGGGTTCACTGGATATTTGGTCGCCATGGCTGCTCTGTCGCGCTGGTGAAGGAAAAGAAAGCAGAAGGCTAGGGATTAAAGAAACAAGGGCAGAATTGAAAATAGGAAAAGGGAAAGCTGATTTTGGTTTTGGTTCAGTGTGTACTGGAAATAATAAAGGTGGGGTTATGTGTTTTTTTAATTTTTGGGTAAATTTGGCAATAGGTCCTTAGGTTCTAAAGATGCTTCATGCTTTATCACTAACTCATGGTATAATCACGCATAAGTCCTCTAAATTTAGGAAATACATATTATTCTCGTCACTAAATTAAGGCTAAATCACTGTATGAGTCCTTTTCTTTAGCCCAAGTAACGTTTGGAGCATTAAATCATGGGTAAACATCCTTTAGGTCCCTATATTCTTGTAGTGTTTTATTTAGATCACTAAAATTGGCATTTTTTGTTATTTATTTCAATTTGGGCTACATATCATGTCTTATTTTGTTTTAGTCATTTATATGTTTTATGGTATTTTATTTAGGACATCATGTTTACATTTATTTTAATTTAGACCCCGTAGCATCAGTTATTGTATCATTTGATTATGATATTTTATTTTATTTTTTATTTTAGTTTAGTCACTATTAGTTTTTTATTTAGCCATTGTTATTTTATTTTATTTTTCATTTGGATCCTTGTTTATTTTTTATTTAATTATTATTTTATGTTTTGCATTTTAATCTACATAATTATTTATTTATTTTATTTTTCTCCCCCTTCCTCGCAAAGGCAGAGAAAGAAAGACGGACAGAAAGAATCAGAGAGGGTAGATAATTCTAGAGCCTTCTTTACCAATTATCAATCCCTCTCTTATAAATTGTCCCCAAGCCCCTGGACCTTTCTTTCAAGCCATTTCGTCGATTCTTTTCTCTTCTTGCTGTTTCCGGACCTTCCCTCTCTCCCAAGAAAAGGAATTTCCGAATTAGAGGCTAAAACTAGAAAAGATCAAAGATGTTTGGAAGAGCACCTAAGAAGAGTAATAATACCAGGTACTATGAGATTCTGGGTGTTTCGAAGGACGCATCCCAGGACGATTTGAAGAAGGCATATAAGAAAGCCGCCATCAAAAACCATCCAGACAAAGGCGGTGATCCTGAAAAAGTATAGTATTTGTTTTCTTTTTGAGGATTTTCTGGGTTTCTTTTGATTGATTATGGGTGAAATGAGTTTATTGCTGATCTTTCTTTTTTGTTTTCTGGGTTTTTTGTTTGATTTGTTAGTTTAAAGAGTTGGCTCAAGCTTATGAGGTACTGAGCGATCCTGAGAAACGTGAGATTTATGATCAGTACGGCGAGGATGCACTTAAGGAAGGAATGGGCGGTGGAGCCGGGGTCCATGACCCGTTTGACATCTTCTCCTCCTTCTTTGGTGGTAGCCCGTTTGGTGGTAAGCGATTTAGTTGAATTCAAAATCATTGTTAACTTGTTTAATGATTTTCGATTCATTATCCCTTGCAATCAAAATTTGGTATGTGATCATGTTGAGTGCTTAATGGAACCGGATGAGGGAGGATTTTGCCGTTACTGGTTAAGGAATTTGAGAATCGTTGTTGAAACTAATTTTAGGGGAATTGGCATAAGGTTGAATTATGGTGTTATTGTTGATGATTAGGTGCTAGCAGTCGAGGAAGAAGACAGAGAAGGGGAGAGGATGTAGTTCATCCTCTTAAGGTGTCTCTAGAGGACCTTTACCTTGGGACTTCAAAGAAACTTTCTCTTTCCCGCAATGTGATATGCTCGAAATGCAATGGGTGAGTTCGTGTTTTGGTTGTTTATTTCGTGTTCCGAATTTCTTGTTGTATTTGCTTACATGTAATGTGTTATTTATTAATGGCAGAAAGGGCTCGAAATCGGGTGCTTCGATGCAATGCCCTGGTTGTCAGGGTTCTGGTATGAAGGTTTCGATTAAGCACCTTGGTCCTTCCATGATTCAGCAAATGCAACATCCTTGCAACGAGTGTAAGGGTACCGGTGAAACTATCAATGAGAAGGACCGCTGCCCTCAGTGCAAGGGTGATAAGGTTGTCCAGGAGAAGAAAGTTTTGGAAGTCATTGTAGAGAAGGGTATGCAGAATGGACAAAAGATTACATTCCCAGGCGAAGCTGACGAGGCTGTATGTATTGTGATGTATAATTTTAGAAATGCAATCTAGTGTATGCACTCTGTTTCTCGATTAATGTGTTTGTGTTTGGTGTGTTTTGCAGCCTGATACCGTTACTGGGGACATAGTCTTTGTTCTTCAGCAGAAAGACCATCCAAAGTTCAAGAGAAAGGGCGAAGACCTTTTTGTGGAGCACACATTAACTCTTACCGAGGCTTTGTGTGGCTTCCAGTTTGTGATCACCCATCTCGATGGACGACAGCTTCTAATCAAGTCAAACCCTGGAGAAGTTGTGAAACCTGGTAAGTGCTATGGAATGTGTAGATTCATTGTCAACTCTTTCTTCTACCTATTGCTTGATTAGTAACTTGTGAAACTTGTTGTTCCAGATTCCTTCAAGGCAATCAATGATGAGGGAATGCCATTATACCAGAGGCCATTCATGAAGGGCAAAATGTACATTCACTTCGCAGTCGAATTCCCCGATTCTCTAAGTCCTGATCATGTTAAGGCACTTGAGGCTATTCTGCCACCGAAACCAACATGTCAGCTGACTGATATGGAGTTAGATGAGTGTGAGGAGACCACACTGTATGATGTGAACTTTGAAGAGGAGATGAGGAGGAAGCAGCAGCAGCATGCGCAGGAAGCTTATGATGAAGATGAGGAAATGCCTGGTGGTGCCCAGAGGGTGCAATGTGCTCAGCAGTGATGATGGAGAAAAAAGTTGGAAGATTTCATTAGTATTCTTGTTGCAAAGAATATTGAAAGCCGGTTTCTATAGTATTGTAGAAAGTAGATTTTGAGTACTGTATGAACTACGTTTTCGATGTCTTCTTGGCACAAGATGCTTTTCATGCAGTGTTCCTTGCTGTTAGCTTGCTTTCTCTAATAAGCACCCCTTTTTTTATTAAGAGTAAAATATGCAAATAATCTCTTGATATCTCATCATATGATTTATCAGCGGGTTGATTGATCAAGAATATGCAAATACTCCGTTACAACCAAGGATAAAGCTGTGAGGTAGGAAGCCCAATGTCGCTGAACTCTCTTAACTTCCCTGCAATCAAGGAATATGCCTGAGCTCCACTCTAACGGAGAATTCATAGGAAATTTTGATAAACTTTGTAGTTTGGATATAAAATTCATTTACATAAAAATAAAAAGCTTAATTTAAATATATAAGTAAGTGTTTAAATTATATTACTTTTTATAAATATGTGTTCAAAATCTTTTTGTTAATTTAAGTGTTTAACATTATAAATATTATTAATTTAGGTGTCTGATTTATAATTATTGTTACAAATTTTATTAAGTGTTATGCGTTATGTCTCGATAATTTTGAATTTTTTAAAAATTAGGATACATTTTCTATTAGAAAAATGTCCAAATTTTAAGAAATATTAGAAAAAATTTAAAATTCTAATTTCAGTTCTATACTCACTTTGGTTACCGTTTTAGTCGTCATCGTTGATTGAGTTTATTTTTGAACACGCCTTGATCCAATAATCATTTATCTCCGAATAATCATTTGAAAACGATGATATCAACGGTGAACCTAATAAAACAACAAACTTGATTCAGCTCTCATTGACTTTAGGTGTGGTGATTCTTTGTTGGAAAAATAGTCGTCGGTGGAGGCACGATCAGTAACGATGGCAAGACCAATGACCCGTGTAAATATAAAGAACAGATTTAGGATTTTTCAAAGTGTGGGTTTTTAAAAAAAAGATTTTCAAGAAAAGAATTTTAAAAGAATTTTTGAGTTTTTTTTTAATTTCAAAATTATCAGAATATGATAACGGTGAAATTTAGACACCTAAAATAATAAGATTTATAATTTTAGACATTTGAATTAATCAAAAAATTTAGACATCACTTTAAGAACAAAAGAAATAATTTTAGTAATTTTTTTATATTAAGCCAAATTAAAATGAATATAAATAAATCCAAACAATAAACAAAGATTTCCGGCTAGAATGACAAGTTATATAAGACGAGTTCAACAATCGTGGCAAACTTATACCCCAAAATTATGATTACATAGGTGCATGCCAACCCTACTTAAATGCTCGACTACACATACGTGGCTTCTTTGCGACGTAGTCGTGGGAGGACAGTTCGGATGATATTGATTTTTTGGTCGTCTCTTATTTTCACTCCTTATTCCAATCCAACGGCTATGTTCCATATTGAATACGGTCACTCCAGTTATCACACCGTTTAGATAAATTCACCCACACAAGGTCCTCGATATTAGTAGTTTACACTGTCGTTTTTCTGGTGTTTTCTGGCGACTGTTAGGATGATGTTATGTCTCTGTCTCAATCTCCTTGCTGGCTGTGTACCCATGTGTCGTAACCGTCTTTCGGTTGGTTCTCGGAATTGAGTTTCGACTTGAAAAATGTGATTGGAGTCGTCACCGATTATTTATTTAAAAAAATAAATAGGTTAATCGGATACCTTATATCTTACCTGATCTATGTCTTACCAAAGATATGTCGGATTCGGGAGTCGGTTACGGTCAAGGAAGGATTAACACCCTTGAAACGCCCTTTCGATACTACATAATTTCCAGTTGTTTTTAATTAAGAAAATCGAAAGTTAAAATTTAAAGGTAACATATGATCCAAAATTACTTACCTCCGATCAATTTGAAAGAGTACCCTTAAAAAGTCGAGAAACGCGTTAAAGGAAAAAGGAAATAAGAGTAAATGAAATAAAGAAAATAGAAGGAAAAAAATAAAAAAATGATGAAAAACTAAACGAGGAATAAAAACATATAATTATTAAGTACAAAATAATAATAATGATAATAAGTAGTAAAATAAAAAACGCAATCACACCAAAAAAAGTAAAAAAAAAAAGTCAAGGTTTGGTGAAGTATAATTGTCGGGAAGGAAAAAGACGATAAGGGGTGGAACTGTAGTTAATAAATGAGTGTGATGTATCCCTATAATATAGTAAGAATGAATAAACAAAAAACATAATGATATAATATATATATATATATAATAAATATAATAACGAAAAAATAATAATTTAATAAAGTAAAATAATAATAATGTAATATAATATAAATACATGAAAACAAAAAAATAATAAAGAAGTATAAAATATAAAAATATAATTAAATGTATATATATGCATATGTTTAAAAAAAGTAAAAATAAAAATAAAAAACAATAAAAAATATACATATAATGATAATAATAGTAGCAAAAGAGAAAAATATATTTATATACGTTAATAGTAAAATAATAATAAATATAATAGTTATAAATAAATATATATATATATATATATAATAACTTTAAAAAACATTAAAATAATATTAGAATAAAAATAATTATATATATATATACTTAATAATACGATTTATCAAAAAGAAATAAATAAAAATATGAAAATAATACATAAGGGACCGTTCATCGGCGACAAACATTTCCTTCGTTTTAAATATCCTAGTATTTTTCCAAAGCGGCCTCGGGGTTGTGTAGATCTAAAAGAAAAAGTTTCGAACGACAACCCATTTTCCTCGGCCAAAACTGTTTTTTTTCCAAGCACAAAGACGAATAACAACACATGCAAGTGAAGAAAAGAATGCGAAAGGTAAAAGCTTTCACCTTTTATTGCTCCTGAATTGTTTACAATAGCTTCAAAACAATCTATTTGCTCATATTTTTTCTGGTAATTTCGTATGCCAATCGTGTGTTACAATAGTGAGCTACAATGGCTATTTATAGTGCTTGTGGATCCTATCTTTAGGAGTTTAAAACATAGCAAAATTCTATCCTATTTTAGGAGTTGAATCCTAGCAGAATTCTATCCTATTTTTGAGAGTTTGAATCCTAGTAGGACGAAAAAGGTGTGTTGACAGCTGTCCCTCTTTGCCCATAGTCGTGTAACGGGGATAGGGCAAAGATTGAAAAATACACTTTTCGTTCGGTGGAGTTGAAAATTTACTCTGATGTTTCAATAACTCCCTGTCGAGTTGAGTTACGGATGACTCCTCCGTCCTAAAGTCGAGTTCATCTGGAAGCTTCTGAGCACTATATCCTTCGTCGTGAAGTTGGAATCGAACTCAAAGCTTTTGGCGAGTGGCCTTTGAATCGTCTTCTGGATCAAGATACTTCGTCGTGAAGGTGAAACTTGACCTGAAGACTTCGGTGTTGATGCGTTACAGATGACTCATTCGTCGTGAAGTTGGGTCAATCTGTTTGTGAAATTGGAATCGTACAGGGCCCCTTCGTCGTGAAGTTGAGCCTGAGAATTGGATATCCTTCGCCATGAAGTTTAAATCCAAATATTGTTCCGAGTCCAATATCCTCCGCTGTGAAGTTGAAATTGGTTCTGGAACCGGGAAATTGTTTGTTGACAGTCAGCCGCCCCTTCGCTGTGAAGTTGAGCTTGTGCTGTCTCGAGTCTAATATCCTTCGTTGTGAAGTTGAAATTGACTCTGAACGAAATCTTGTTGACAATCAGTCGTCCCTTCGTTATGAAGTTGAACTTGTGTTGTCTCGAGTCCAATATCCTTCGCTGCGAAGTTGAAATTGGCTCTGAAATTTGAAAAATGTTTGTTGACAACCAGCCATCCCTTCGTTGTGAAGTTGAACTTGTGTTGTCTCGAGTGGCACGATATCCTCCGTCGTGGAGTTGAAATCGCGGATGAAACTGAAAAGTTGTTCGTTGACAACCAGTCGTCCCTTCGTTGTGAAGTTGAACTTGTGTTGTCTCAGGTAGCACGATATCCTCCGTCGTGGAGTTGAAATCGGCTCTGGAATTGGGAAATTGTTTGTTGACAACCAGCCGTCCCTTCGCTGTGAAGTTGAACTTGTGTTGTCTCGAATCCAATATCTTTCGCTGTGAAGTTGAGATTGGCTCCGAAATTGCTTGTCGACAGTCAGCCGCCCCTTCGCTGTGAAGTTGAGCTTGTGCTGTCTTGGGTCCAATATCCTTCGCTGTGAAGTTGAGATTGGCTCCGAAATTGTTTGTCGACAGTCAGCCGCCCCTTCGCTGTGAAGTTGAGCTTGTGCTGTCTTGGGTCCAATATCCTTCGCCGTGAAGTTGAAATTGGCCCTGAAAATTATTGTTGACAACCAGCCGTCCCTTCGTTGTGAAGTTGAACTTGTGTTGTCTCGAGTGCAATATCCTTCGCTGTGAAGTTGAAATTGACTCTAGCTAAAACCTGAAAAAGTTATGCATATATGTGATGAGATGGATGCAATGCTCTTAGGTATGCCTAAAATGCATATGCAACATATGTTATTTTGGGACTCAGGAGAGAAATCTCAATCTCTGGTTGTTTTTCTGGAATCTTGGTTCTGGAATCTTCAAGTTCTGATCCATGGTCTCAAATTCTTCAAATGTTCAAATCTGATGTGCACATTCTATTTTTTGATTTGAGAAATGCTATCCCAAGTATGTGCCTGAGCTGAGTGTAACGGTTCAGATGATGCTTCAAGAGAAATTGTCTCAAAAGAGACAGAACTCGTTTCAAGGGAAACGATCTCAAAGATATTTGTTGTTTCAAGGGAAACGGTCTTAAGGGAGACAAAATTTTGTTTTAAGAAAAATTGTCTCAAGAGAGACAAAACTTAGTTCCAAAAGAAATTGTCTCACGGGGAGATGAAATTAGTTCAAAGGAAAACATATTCAAAGATGATGCTTCAAGAGAAAACTGTCTCAAGGGAGACAAAAATTTGTTTCAAGAGAAACTGTCTCAAGAGAGACGAAATTCATTTCAAGGGAAATGTTTTCAATGTTTATGTTTCAAGAGAAACTATCTCAAGAGAGACGAAATTCATTTCAAGGGAAATGTTTTCAATGTTTATGTTTCAAGAGAAATTGTCTCAATGGAG